GGGCTGGGCCGCTCACTAGAGGTATATCGCCTCATAAATTCAGTTATAAGTTAGCTAAATCAATATTTAGCTAACTTATAACTGAATTTATGAGGCGATATACCTCTAGTGAGCGGCCCAGCCCTTCGTATATTTTTCTGTATGTGGCCCCCCTGCTCTAGAGCTATATCCATCAGTTAATGGTAAATTGTTGTAGACAATATCTCAGAAACAAAAAGATGATTCCTTTAAAGGTTTAAGAACTGTATTTCGACTTGCACAGGTACAGTTACACAGTAAACCTATATGCAGTTTATTTGCGGTTACTTTTAAAATGACTATAAATGTCTAAGTCCAGGCACTTTCAAGAAAACTACTGCAGACTTTGACCGAGATGGCCAATGACAATTATTCGCCCAGTTAATTGAAAATAATCTGAGTTGTTTTTAACATACTTTCCCCTTTTCTTTTTTTTAAGAATATATTTTATATGGCTGGCTGTATGTCATACAGTGTTGCCACCATATTATTAAGGAATGCCTAGTTGTAGTATAACCTTGAGCATAATGTGTTTTTATTCTGTATTGATGTTTTTCTTTTATGTACTGTACTTCAATGCATTCCACTCTTCAGTTTTTGTTTCTGACTTTCTCACGAGCACAGAGGTACACAAGTTGCTAAAAGTGTCACAGCTCTTTACTTCATACCTTTGATGTTGTTGCACCCTCTTGGGCATTGTGCAATATGTCTCTTTGTGATCTTTGCAAAGTGCCCTTTCTTTGTTTTGTTTTTTCAACGTATGGGATTTACTGTTGGCTGACAGAATCCTTTAGTCGTTCAAATCCATTAAAAGCCTCATGAGTCTTAACAGCTCTTCTGAAAATCTTTATTGACTTTGACTGTTTTTGCCTCCTTAGATCTTGACATGAGATTTTTCATAGATAACATGTCTTAATTAAACCACATCAAATTGGACTTCTGCTACCAAAAACACTAGTCAATATTTTTGAAACTCACACACTTTGGATCACAAATGCTTAAAATGGACCGGATAAACAATTAGCATCTGTCTGTGTTTGTCTTTTAGAGAGTAACAGATGAGTGTTAGACAGCGCTTTAGGAGTTATCCACAATAATCCAGACCTCAAATACCCAAATTAACATTTATTGTTGCCAACAAAAAATCCCATGAGAAGAACAAAACCAACAATCAGTAAATCCTTTTAGACAGATCTCTGAGCACAGGATTTGCAACAGGAAATATTTGTATAATTCGATTTGTATTTACTCTGTATGAGTAACATCACTTTAGAACTACAATGCCCTTCTGTTTTTAGAAAAAAATACTTTTGTGACCAATTTATTCCTAAATCCTGCATCCTGCTCATCCATTGGTTGCAAAGAGAACTCTATTTGTATAGAGGTGTATGAGAAAATGACCCTACTCTTACTAGATGTGTTGCCCCATTCAACATGTACCTGATCCTTTGATGGTTCTAATTACTGGTTTGAAGTCGCCGTCAATAAAGCATGAGGTTATTTTGTAAATGATGGTCCCAGTTAGAAGAAAATAGACTACAAAGCATAATATGTTTGACCTCCGCAGTGTTCTCCAGTTTGGGTGTTGTGTTTACGCCTTACAACTTTAACCGTTTCACTTTTATTTAGGTCCTGAAAGTTATATGTAACATTTTGGTATCCATGAATTTTCTTGTTCAGTTTTCCGTTTAATTTAGTTCCACTATTTTGTGTCATTTTAAGTAAAAACAACGACATTGCAATAGCCAAAAACAAAGATGGTCACACCCAAAATGCCAAACTTATGGTTTCAAAAATATAGTCCATAAAACCAATGAGTAACGTCTTGGTGAATTATGTGCACTTTTTGAACATTTTTTATGTATGCGACACATTTAAAGATTTGTTTCATCAGTAGGAATACATGAGATGGGGTTGAGGGCTACAGTTAATCTGAATGAGTTGCAAAGTATATTGAGATCACCTTACATATTGTGGGTTTTAGTATTTTCATTATATTTCTTTACTAAGAAAGACAAAGGCCCCATTTACATATAACCCACATCTGAATAAAGCAAGTTCATGTTTTGTGATTAATGAAAATCGTTGGTGCCTCAAAAAGCTGAATCACTTTATAAAGTTATTGAGGTTTGAATGTTTTTATTGTGTATCTTTGGAAATCCTCTCCCTGTACATTGTAAAAAGTTTCAGAGATTGGATTATTTGTGTTATGATCTGTCGGATATCCACTCATACATATTTATTGCTTGCTTCCTTTTCCGGAAACCATTGTGGATTTGTCTCGGGGCGCAGGGACCTATCGAACAACAGACTGGAGGCGATCCCTCCTAATCTCTTTGTTTTACTCGGGGATTTACTCCAACTGTGAGTTATATTTACACGAATGCTATACAGTTCTGTATACCTTAGCAATAACATGAATATTTATTATGGTTTATATGTTGATGCTGTTAAGAAATTACCATTACATCATTACAGATTAATGCAGGTTTTTAATGTTATAATTAGACAAGAAAGTACTCTTTGATAGATTACTACTTACTACAACACATTGCATTTTCTTGCTGCTGCTGTTTCACAATAAGAAGCCACTGTATTTCTTAAAGACAACAAATAACAAAGCTGTTATTATTAAGATATATTGGATGACCTGCTAAATGTGTTCTTCTGAATCCCTCGTTCTGAGGTTATATCTGAATCTAACACCCCTACATTTTAAAACATACTTTAGAGAGATAATAACAGCTTGGAAATCACACAG